TTCTTAAACAACAAATGAATAGAAGGGACCTGGAGGCAAGTGAACCTCCACCTTTACAAGTCATGTGTTGAGCAAAATGTGGGACATGAGATTTGAGTGGATCTGCATTTATGAATTCCAGTGTTCTTTTCAAGTATCTTCTCTCCGTGCTCATCCCACATCCATCTGACCCCTGTGACCTACTTCTGTTCGTTGTTTCATCACATTCTTGCCCAACAGCATTTGCTCAGTGGTTTCACGAGTTGAAAGTGGCCCATTTGTCTTCCAGTTTAGCCCCTCGTATCCCTTATCAGTGGTTGCATTATGATGTAAAAATCCATTCTTTTCTTTGGCTATTGTGCCGACTGCTGTATGGTATTCGTCTTCTCCCTAAGATGTGAGAAAGTGTACCGTCTTCCCCACTTACGACATCTTATTTGTAACAATTGGCATATTAACGATACTATTACTTTATTGTTTAAGTGCATTATGCTAACCATTTTTATAAAAGCTTTCAAGCACGTTCTGAAGTATTATAAAATAGCTTCCTTAGGAGTGATTAAATAAGAATCGCTCTTTAGAATATTAACGAAGCTATTTTTCGTTTGTTTGTTTTGTTTTCTCTCCGCAAATAATGGGCAACATATCACTTGAAATAAAAGCCCTTTATGTGTTGGAAATAAAACAAAGATAATGCTGAAGTTCGTATATAAATGTTTCACCCATTTACTGCTTTTTAATTTCACATCAGTGTATTGTACCCTCTTTCAACTAATCCCATAAAGGTCTAGATCCAATATCTAAATAGAGCTTTGCGTTAAAATACACAACATTTTACAGTAATTCAGGCCAACACACAGGAAATTTTCTATAAACGGAATATAGATAACGATATATATATAAGAATCCCACCAAAATTTTTACACGTTTCTTTCCATTGAAATGTTCTAAAACTTCAGAAACAGAAGAGTGGCATAGCTACAGGGAGACAAGGGGAGGCATTTGTTCCCGGGCGCATCATTTAGGAGGAGTCAAATTGATGTTACAAATTTTTAGAATAAAATGGTTTCCATTCTTGGCGAACAGAAGCTGGAGGGGGGAAATCTTCAGTTGTCCCTGAGCCCTAAAAAACTCTGAAGCAGAATCTGCTTATGGGAAAGTGACGGTGTCTGTGACTGAGAACGTCTGCAACGCGCCTTTCTGGCAGACTGAGAAAGTTATAATTACTCTTTCGAAAGCTAATAGAAGTAATCATAGCTGTTTAGTTTAAAATTGCTTTAGGGTTGAATTGAATGCGTTCATTCACTTTTCAAACTGTTGCCAACAAATTACAGCCCTGTATTATATTTAAAGAAATTAAATAATAAAGAATCTATATAAATGTATGTATGTTTCTCGCATTCTGATAAAACAACGGTACCTAAAGCCATCAAATTTTGAATAACGTAATCCTTCACCAAATATGGGAATCTAGAATTTTTTTTGAATTTTTTTTTTTTTTTAATTTGGAATATTTTTTTTACCTAATTTGGAATTTTTTTTATTATCTATTTAATATCTTGTTAGACTTTAAAGATTTTTGATTAACAAACTCAGCGATTTCGAAGCGAGGAATGGTACATTGTACTGAAAAAAAAAAGCATTTTTTATCTCCAGCGCGCGAGACTGTGTATCGGGAATTCTAAAGATGTGCTCATTATAAAATTATTTTGCGATATTGCTGTTGAATTGAATTTTATGGTTTAAGTGCGAAGAACATGATATTTAATAAATAAAGATAACACAAAAAACGTTAAAAAATAGCACTTTGGGCGTTATGTAAAATCATAAAGCTTTCAGATTTTTATAATGATTGATTTCTAATTGCTCCTAAAACTTTTTTTTTTAATATATATATATAACGAGTACAAAATTTTCCTCGTAAGTATACGAATCGGAAGAACGTGTAATATGTTAGATTTCATATTTCATATATATATATTTTAGTTTAAGATTACAAAGACATTAATCTTTGCGTCGTCTAACATATTTTTATAACTGGAAGTATATGTCTGTACGAAAATAAAGGCCTGGCAACTACTTTTATGGACATGGTGAAAGTAAAACACTAACACTAATAAAACACACTAACGAAAGAAATCCGAAGAGAATTTTCTTTTTACCAGAAACTGACGAAAGTGATTACAGAGAATTTGTTTAAATTATTTGCTTTAAATATATAGCGATTAGAGAGAAGTACATAATTTTTAAAGCGCAAGTTTGAGATATGTTTTGAATGTCTATTGTTATAGGAAACATAACACCCAGATTACCAGATAAGTAGTCGACCATAATTTCATGCTTCAATATTTCGTTTATCAAATATAAAAGATAAACTTCGACTTTCGACTGTGAAGAAGCCGGACAAGAGAAAATTTGACTTTAAAATAGTTACAACCGTAAATATCGCAGCAAAAACATCGCGGATAAAATAAAGCAAGGCGAAAACGTCGTGGAACTAAACATAGTGGAGAAAATAAAGCAAAGAGAAAACATCGCAGTTCTAAAACGGCCCACCAGCGGCCGAGCGGTAAAGTCGCTGAACACTGGTAGTTCGGTCCGAGGTTCGAATCCCGCGAACGGGCTGGCTGCATGGGTGTTTTCGTGGTTTTCCCCATGTGTAACGTGTATACGAGCCAGTTTCCCTTATAAAGTCCTCCACGAAGGCATCCCTCCCCTTAGGCAGATAGCCCTAGTGTGCTTTGCCATAATTAAATACACACGTACACACGCAGTCTAAAACGTCGTGGTACAAAATATAGCCGTCGAAAATAAAGCGGTTCAAAAACTTCGCAGTTTGAAAACATCATCATCGAAAATATCGTAGTAAAAAATGAAGTACTTGACGATAACATCGCAGATATGCGTTTTTCAGGTTTTAATAATTGTAAATGGATATTCGCATAATGATGTTTAAGCGCAAGATGAAAAGAAGAAGAATTTTTTACTTTCGTATTTTCTATTAACTAATAAATTTAAAAAAAAAAAAAAAAAAAAAGAACAAGAAATTTTAACAAAACAAGAAATAATTTTCATTATAAGAGTGTCAGATTAACAAAAGTGAAGAAAATAATATCTCAGAATTAGCAATTTTTTTATAAAGTCATGCAGTTTTTTATCTTCTTTTTTTATTTTTTTTTAGATTATTTTTTTTCATGAAAAATTACCAGTAAAATTTTATTAAAAAAATCATTTATTAATGGCCTATGTTAGCTAACTATGTCAGTTTAAAATTCTGATAAGTGCTAAAAGTTGCATTGATTTTCTATATTTAAGTTTCCATTTTATATTTTCAACAAATATTAATTAGTTAATAAAAAAATACGAAAGTAAAAATTATCCTTCTTTCCATATTGCGCTCACAAATCATTATGCGAGTATCCTTTTACAATTATTAAAGCCTGAAAAACGCACGTCTGCGATGTAATCGGCATGCGATGATTTGTAGGTACTTTATTTTTTACCACGATATTTGCGACGACGATGTTTTTAAACTGCGAAGTTTTTGAACCGCTTTATTTTCGACAACTATATTTTGTACCACGATGTTTTAGAACTGCTATATTTTCTCTTTGCTTTATTTTCTCCGACGATGTTGTGTTCCACTACGTTTTCGCCTTGCGTTGTTTCCTCCGCAACGTTTTCGTCCGCGATGTTTTCGGCGGACACCTAGTAAAATGTTTGCCATTAGCAGACACCTTTATCATATCATTTCTGATTTTTCCCGTACTCAAGTTTTTAGGGGGATTTCAAGGGGGTTTTAATGTGTATATATGTATATAATAAAGATGAGTTAAGAAGAAAATTCACAAATTGTTAGCTGTTACAAAAACATACATACTTCCGTTAGCTGTATTAATTTGCTATGTGTTTCTAAAACATCAAAACGAGTTAAATTATTCACAAATTTCCTTTTAACTCCATATAATCATCAAAATATGAATAAAATTTGCACTGCAGCTGAATGAAATTTTATACATCATTTATCAGTTTAGGATGTAAAATCGGTTATAAGAAGAAATCTGTGAAGCATCTCGAAGTCTCTTGTTATACACATTTCACTTCCCTAAAAAATTACCCTCCCTCCCAACCGATGGTTATTTAAGAAAGTCATCTACCGTTTCCTCTGTTACGTCAGGAATTATTGTATTTTTGGAGTAGTTTGCTTGTGTGTTATGTAATGATTTTGTTTCTTTGTTTTGTTTCTTTGTAAGCTTAAATTAAATTTATGCTAAGTTTATAGTTCTTTAAAATTTAATTAGTATTATAATTTAAAATAAAAAATGAATTCTATCCAAGTATAATTTCAAAAAAGTGCTTTGCCAAAAAGGAATAAAAAGAAGGTAATCCTGTAAAATCTAATACTTTTAGCTTTCTTAAAAGCACAAAAATATAAAGGCTCCTAGAAGTTAGTCTATTTCTTATATATCTCAAAAATTTCTGCTGTAGAATCTTAGCGACTGTAATAAATTTCACGTTCAGTGTTTAAATGAAAAGAATTAGTTTTTCTAATTAATAAAATAAGTAACTACGAAAGAGATAACTAAGTTTCATATAAACGTTAAGTAAGTTAACTCTAAGTAGGGTTATACTGAAAACATAAATTAAATAAATAAGTAAATTAATAAATTGGTTAATTAAATGAAATACAAAATTTCATTGCATAATTCAAATTTTTACCTTAGAGATGTTGAAACTATAATCTATTAACAATAATTTCCAGACGAACTACGAGTTCTTATCTACTTGGCCACTGACAGATTCTACGAGATATTGATTTTTTGCTTTTTCAGTAAGATGCAAATATATATCAAATGAGAAATAAAAGCAGATTTTGAAATCTCGTTTTCAAGTACTTTACGGCTAATTTTATTTAGAAGCGTTCAAGCTTTGGTGAAGTGTAATATTCATAAAATCATGAACGTGATATTTTAACTATTTGCTTTATTAATTTTCCTTTCGAATTTTTTTTTTTTTTCCAGATGTTCCCAATGAAGACCAGTCTTCAAACTTACTTCTTTATTTTAACCTGTTTAATGGGCACCATCCAGTCCTTGAACTTACAAAAGAAGGATGCTAGTCAGACTGGGAAGACTCTGAAGGACCACGAATCAGAGACAGATATGATTGCAGCCCCGAGCATAGCAGTTGCGAATTATAAGACCCAATCTGTAGCATCTAGATCTTCAGCTCCTCCAGCCGGTCGGAGGTATGGATATCCTTATCTTATAGCACCCACATTGCCACCCTTCCTGAAGAGATCAGATGACTATGAGAATGAAGCAGACCATGTACCAACCGCTGCATCTGATAGATCCAGATCACCAGTAAGAATTTTTCCTTTCATTTTCCATGTAGATTGCGATTTGCTGTTTTTATTCACCTTTCAGGTACATATGAGCAATTGTAATAATCAGAAAAAAAAAAAACTCCGCGCGTTATTCAGAGCGTAAAAATTAGTTTTGTATTCTAAGCGTGAACATGCAATCTATGGGAGTCTTTTGGTATTTTGCGCATGTACACATATATAAAAAAACGATGTTCTAGTAAACTTGTTATGAATTTTACTTTGTAGAGACATTAGGTGTATTTTGGAAGCAGAAGTCATGAAAAATGAGCAACGCCATTGACGGGAATCGAACCACAGACCTCTGCAATACGCGCCCAGCGTGCTGACCACTACACTACGAAGGCATGCCAAGAAGGAGGGAGAAATACCTTAGGGCGACTGGGGATTAGGGGACTCAGTCGCAAAATCCTGGGGGGTGGAGAATTATCATCCACCACCCTTTTATTTCGGGCACCACTGTAGAGACATTAGGAATTTTTGAAACAGGAGAGATGGATTATGGTCACTTTACTTAACCTGTTCCGCCAAACTGAGTTAATGGCACTACAGGGTTAGGAAGTTATCCTATTCATTGCTAGCAATCTGACGGTTAGGCCGCCTTTCTACATTTTACTTTAATCTGTAGTTTCTTGGATATAATTATTTTCATTCACTTGCTTCATTATCTCTAAGATGAATTGTTGCAGTAATAGTCCGTGAACAGTCTATTCACAGGATATGTGATGTAGTCGGAAGGAAAGAACTGCTGTCGAAGGTGCTCTGTCAGAGGGCAGGAGAGCAGGTAATGAAGTGCGTCCGCGTCTTCCCCGCGAAAACCGCAAGAACAGTTGACGTCCCGTCTGAGGAAACGTCTGTAATACGCTGGGAATTTTCCGTGGTTGGTACAGGCTTGGAGGAAGAGTCGGTTGCATTTCAGCCTCTTGAGAGAAGGTATTGGGAAGATGTTGTAAGTAAATCTTCCTGTCTCTTCTTCCTGCCATCGTGATGACCATGTCTCTTGAAATGCTGTCTTGAGGAGCCTTTTTGCAACTTCTGCGGAAAGCGGAACTTCCTTGTCAATTTCTGGTTTGAGAGCTGCAGTCTTAGCTAGTTCATCCGCTCGTTCGTTGCCTTTCTGCCCGGTATGTCCTTTTATCCAGTTGATCTTTAAAGGTATGGAAGAGCCTAACGTCAAGAAGATCTCTCTAAGTGCTGCCGTGTGCGGATGTTTTTGAGGAAAGGAATTCAGCGCATTCAGAACGCTCATGCTATCTGTGAAGAATGAAGTGTGAGCTGCTGGTTGTGTACCTAACCATAGTGCTGCTTCTTTGAGTGCTAGGGACTCGGCTTGGAAGACTGAAGCATGATCGCTTAGACGGAATTGTGCTTGATAAATTTCTTCATTGTTCGAAAAGACCGTGAACGCTGCCCCTACTCGTCCTGAAATTTTTGAACCGTCAGAAAAAATCTCTCTTTGTTGTCTTGAGGGTGGCGATTTGCACCAGGAAAGGATGGGTAGATCTCCTGGGTGTAAGTTAGGGGAATCTTGGAAGCTTTCTATGCTGGCATATGATAGATGTAAATCTTTTTTAGTGTGAAGGTCCTCTTTGTAATGTAGAAGTCGATAGATTGATCTTTCTAATTCTGCTTTTAGGTCGAGTGGGAGCGTGCCAGCTAAGACCTGAAGTGCTGCGGTTGATGTGGTGCTATACGCACTGGTGATTTTTAACAGGATTACTCGCTGTATTTGATGTAGTTTTTGACATATTCTTGCTGTGCCATTCATCCAGAGTGGGCAGCCGTAGAGGATCATGCGTTCAATTGCATTAAGGTACAGATGTTTTAACAGGCGCCCCTTTTGGCTCCACTTGTCTGTGATTATCCTGTTTAGTTTATTGATGATTCGATGCGTCTTATCTCGGACTTCCGTAAGATGTGATACCCACGTGAGCTTCTTATCAAGCGTGAATCCGAGGTATTTAATGGTATTCTGGCGTCGCAGTGGATGCCCTTCCCACTTTATGCGTGGTGGATTCGCGTCTATTTTTGAACTTTTTTGGAAAGACTATCATCTGTGTCTTTTCAATACTGAAACACAGTTTTGTGTCTTGACTCCATTTTGCAAGCAATTTGAGTGCTGCGTCTGCTTTACGCTCTATTGTTGTCCTATTGCCTCCGTCTATTATGAGTATAATATCGTCGGCGTAAGCTTGTATCTTGGCATTGTCTCCAAAGTTGACGTTCAGCGCTAAGTCTGCAATTATGTTCCACAAGATGGGTCCGATATTAGACCCCTGTGGGGCTCCTTTGTGGTAATTCATCGTGATATTTAAGCCGTCTCTTTTGTAGGTCACTTGACGTTCTGTGAGGTAGCTTGCGATCAGTTGGTAAAGATTCTTTGGACATCGCAGGTCTTTTAGTTTTGTTTTGAGCGCTGGCCACCATAGTTTATTGAATGCGGAAGCTACGTCAAGCGATATTATACACGTATGGAGGTTATTTTGTCTGTTATTTAAGATGATGTCTTGAACACGGTTGAGGGCGTCGGTTGTGCTCCGCCCTTTAGTTAACCCGAATTTGGAGGGGTTTAGTAGTTTTTTTTTTTGACCAGGCAATACGTTAATCTCTGCGTAAGCATCTTGTCAAGGAATTTGCTCCACGCTGAGAGTAAGCATATAGGTCTGTAAGAACTGGGCATGGACTTTGGTTTTCCCTCTTTCTGGAACAATACTAGCTTTGCGTTTTTCCATTCCTTTGGAAAATAACCTAATTCAAGGCACTTGTTAAAGAGTGCTAGAATTTGTTTGTCGTCCGCGAGCCTAAGCTCTTCAATGGTTTCAATCGTGAGGCCATCCAGGACCAGGAGCTTTACCTCGGCGTGTTGAGTTTATCGTACGTTGCATTTCTTCGAGTGTGAACGGCTGATCGTCTTCCGAGTTTGGAATCTCGGTTGATTGGGAACGGAATATCTGCATGGTATGTAGAGTCCTCGTTGGGGTCGTCCTTCTGGAAAATGGAACCTCATGATTTCTCTAATTGTATCCTCAATTGTGCTCGTCATTGTGCCATCTTCTTTTTGAACTGAACCTATCTGTAATGGATCCATGCTCTTCCCTTCGATCCAGCTAGATCGAAGTATGTTCCGAACGGAGAGCTAACAGTGATTTTGTTCCATGTCATGTCCCATGCTTTTTTCTTTTCTTTATACATCTTTTGCCGGTACTGTGCACGTACCCTTCTGGTAAAGCAGCCTGTTATGGGTCCTTTCCTCTCCATTTGTTTTTTGGAATTCTTTTCCTTGTTGCTCTGAACCTTTTTCCTGAGAATAGTGAGATCTTTTGTCCACCATGGACAGGTGCGCGGATCTTGGTTTCGAGTTATGTGAGAGAACTGTTCTTTGATAGATCTCGTGGAAGACTAGTGGTACTTCTCTTACTTCTCTTACATATTTATCGATTTCTTCGATAGTTTGTCAGATTTCTAGGGTCTGCTAAAGATTTTGAGACATACCTTTTGAAACTTAGCCAGTCGGTATGTCGTACATTGATTTTCGATCTTCTCCATGTTGGGTAATGAATGCTGGAGACGTCAAAATAGATATTATTATGATCGCTATTGTTTGGCTTCGTCCGTTACCTTCCAATTATCGATCCGGATTCTGTCTCTACTTATGATAAGTGTGAGGTCAATCCAGCTGTTACCACTTACTCCTGCGAAGGTTGGCGTATCCCCTATTTCATTGACTATCGATAGTCCAGTGCTGGCAATGAATTCGCATACTTTGAGGCCTCGTGTGTCCGTATTATTGTGAGCCCCATAGGGGACTTTTGGCATTGAAATCTCCGGTAATTATTGTAGTCATGTTGTTATTGTCCTGCATAAACCTTTCTAGGGTTTGTCAGGATTGGTGCAATATCTCCTGCGATGGAGGACAGTATACCGTGATTAGTATAAATCTTGAGTCACTGCCTATTGCGCAAGCGCTATAATCTCCGGAGAGCTGAAAAGTTCCAGAAACTGGGAGATTTGAGTCCGCTATAATCACTGCAGTTTTTGCGTCTGTTCGAGAGTAGAACTTCCTATATTTTGTGGGGAATCCGTACAGTTTGTTCTGTACTGTGTACGGTTCCTGGATACATGCTACTTTGAGTTTGTCGTTCTGTTCAAAATTTATCTTTAAGTTTCTGTTGCACTCCTGGAGTGCTTAAGATTAATCTGGATTATTTGGATACTATCCATAATTTGTTCGTTGTTTTAATCTTTCGAGCTCTTTTAGGTAGCATGGGCATTTCTTATCTCGGCTAATCATGTTGGGCATCGAGGCCTATATTATTGTATTATATCGTTATATATTGTATTATATCGTTTATTCACCTTTGTGCAGTTGACACAGCTGACTGGTTTTTAGTCACAATTGGTCTTCTCGGGGTGTGTGGAGCCGCATCCTGGCACAGATTTTATCTTCCTTGCAATATTTCGCTGGGTGGTTTTACACCCAAGGCATTTGACACATTGCGAAACCTTTACAAACTCCCTTACGTTGTTATCTTGACCATTGTATGTTCAACTTCCTTCGTTTTCATAAAGGATCTTGAAAGCTACTGAGTTCTATAGATAGAACCCAGTGCTGTCCAAAGCGGGCCTTCATGGCGAACAGAATCTCTATTTCACTTTCTGCTAGGTCGGTGTTCTGTATTTTAATGAAGTTTACTATCTCGTCTTTATTAATGTTCTCGTTGACATTGTAGACTATTATTCTGGGGTTTCTTTTTTGTGGATGTTTCGTCTCCACTACGTCCTTCAGCTTCCGATTTTCATTTATGGCCTCTTCAACCATTGCCAGTTCTTCCTTTTTCGTAACTTCTACTAGGAGCCCTCCTTTGTTGACTCTCTTTATATTCTTGACGCCTACTTTGAGTTTTCCTGGATCTATGTACTTCACCAGCTTCTTTACCTCGTCGGATGTACTACCCTCAGTCTTAGGATAGACTAGTAATACATGCTCTGTCTCTTGCCGTGATCTTGATTGTGATCGTCTAGATCTAGAACTACTTCTGGATGGCCGTCGAGATCTTGCAACTTCTGCAAAAGACAGCTTTTGAGTGGCGACTATTCCTTGGATGCATGTCTCTATATTCTTAGTTTGTTCAATTTGTCCTTCCAAATTGGCAACTTTGTAACTCTGCCTCGAGACTATTCTTAACATATGGTCAAAGAAACCTCCGTATCTTTTTGTTTGCTTTTGTGGAAATGTCGTCTCTATTTAAAGTATCCAATTAGATTAGTATAGCATTCTGAAGCCTCTTGATACTCTGTACTGGCATCTACCAAAGTTATATCAACGTCTAGCTGTCGTGTACTGCTCTGTTTCTGTGTCTTATCTATTATTGGAGCACTGGCCGACTGCGTCTCATTGTCGGGGCGTTGCAATGCCCTCACCGGGACTCGAGCCACGGACCTCTCCAATACGCGTCAAGCGTGCTGACCACTACACTACGAAGGCATGCTAAGAAAGGGGGAGAAATACCTTATGCTTATACAAAGGTAACAGTTATTTGCAATACAAAAAAAGTTATAAGGTAACATGTATGTTACATACGCATCGTCATCCAATCAGAAGTTTTCTCAAATAGACAATTTTATGAAAACAACTCCAACTTTGCGGAATAGAAAGGCTTATAAATATAAAATTAGAATTATATGTAGCAAAAGTTTTATAATAATAGAACTTTAGAGCAAAAATTATTGTTAGTAAAATATTCATTCTGCTATGCTATTATCCTGCTATGCTTCTGTTATGCTATTATTATTATACTATTAACTTGGAAAATTCCTCCAATGAAATGCTAGTCTATTGAATATTGCACTGATGAACACATGCACACATTTTCCCATAATGCAATTTATTTTTAAATGAAGCTGTGAACCATTCTATACGAAAGAATTAATTTGGAGCAAAATCTGGTATTTTTTGCCGTGTACCCTTCATAATACCTTCAAGTTTTAATCTGTTCAGAGCACGTTTGTTAACTGCTAGTATGTCGAAATGATTCATGTTTGCATTTTTTGATCTTCTGAAATAGCGTTTACTATATTAAACTTTCATGCGCATCACTAATGAATATGCTGTAACAATCAAAAATTTTCCCAAAAAATTTTACGTCTTGATCCATCCCGGGGTAAAAGTTATTATCTTTAAAAGGACAGATGATCTCAAAGTGTTATTTATAAATATTAATAAAATACTAAAGAACCTAAAACAAACAAATTGTAAAAGTTTGAATTATTTTTTAATTATCAAAAGCAGAAGGATAAACAGTGAGCAAATGCACAGGGGAAAAAAGTAAGAGAGAAATATTAGCGTATTCCATCTTAAAACTGGAACAAAATAAAAAAGCCTCATCTAGAAATTACATATTTTGAAGCCAAAAATGTTTTAACATTGTCTGTACATATCGCCCACAAAATTTCCCGAACTACGAGATTAATACAAATTTTTAATTAGTTGGATACTTTATCCAGAATTGGCAAACATTTAGCGCACAAGTAAGTTTAGAAACAATATTTGCCCAACTTAGATATTCTGCAGAATTTTCTCTTTTTCACCCTTGTAACTTATAACCAGATCGCATTAACGCCATAATACTTGTTGCCACTTTTTTCATCTTTCTCAGAAGAAATAAATTTATTATACAGGATACAGTCATATTGTAATTTTGAAATTTAATTATTCGCATATTTGGAGGTAACGAAAATTGATTGAATGAAGAAGTCGAATACGATTGTATCATTTGAAAAAGACACTCGGATCTCCCAATTCTTTTTTTCGTGTATCTGGTCCCCCCCTTTTCCTGGAATACTTGTGTTGTGATTTATCTCACGTGTCTTAAGTAACATCAAACAAGTCCACGAAATTCATCGTGGCAAAGAGAGCGCTTGCCGTTGGCAACAGCCTTGAGCACCATACAGGTGACTTCGCTCAGTCCCTCCCCCCAATTTTAAAGGACAGCAGCCCGGGAGGATGAATCTGGGAGTCTCCCACCCCTCTTTCCCTACCACCAACCTGTTGAGAGAACTTTCGGCTTGCCGCATATTTAGAGTGCTCCCGTGCCGCACAGACACTATACATTTACAAACATTCATGCCTTTTCCGGGATTCGAACCTGGCCCTTCGGTATGGCAGTAAGCTCTCCTAACCATTATACCGTCTGGGCGGCTCCTGGAATATTTTTAGTAGGCTATTTAAATGTGAGAGAGTACAGCGATTCGAAAGATCTGGAAAGCATCCAATATAAAAATGTACAGTTAAAAAATCAATCATAAATTCTTGTGGAGAGTGGCTTCCATACTGGAAATTAAATTATTCTGCGTAATCACGGCTATAAGATTTAGTCAATAAAAAATGAGTTATAGAATAGAATAAAAAATTGAATTTACATTCAATTACTATTACATTACAATTTACAATCAAGTAATAGAGCCATCGAAGAAGAAAAACCAAGCTGTAATGTGGTATTTATCAAACAATAATCGGTACTTACGTATTAACGCCACCGCAGCAGAAGTTGTGCTGATGCACCAATAAAGAGCAGTCCTGCTGTTCGCACGCAGTTATCTTTTGGGTTCCTTTTTGCTTTGTTGTTTGGTGATTTTTGAACACCATTTTTTAGTGCTACGAAAATGCGTCTTTGGGATATGCCAAACACAGAAGAAGATGCAATTCTATTTTTTCAGGAGCTAAATATTTTACCAAAAAACGAAAATGTACCAATTCGCATGATATGAAACTTTATTTTGGTAAACGTACGTTTTGGAAATGTAATTTAAGACAGTGTGATCTGCAAGTGGGATTTAGAAAATACAACTGGTTTGATGGAAGCAGAATTCCATTTTGTTCAGCTTTTGAGATTCATATACTGCTGGTGCGAGGAGTTGACGCTGATTAATTTTGTGAAAAGCAACTTGATTTATCGGATAAAACTGTTATAGATTGGAACAATTACATGCGTGAATTATGTGTCATGGATATGGAGAATAAACCAAACAAAGAAGGTAGGTGGACCAGATTCCATTGTGGAAATTGATGAAAGTTTGTTTACTAAGCGTAAAAATAATTGTGGTCGAGTATTACCCGAACAGTGGGTGTTTGGTGGTGTATAAACAAAAGATCCGTTTGTTGTCACTGTTCCGAATAGAACTGGCTCCACTTTTCTTAATAAAATTATTGAAAACATTGCAGATGGTAGCACAATTTATTCTGACAGTTGGAAAGGTTACCAGGCAAATAGAATAGAAAAAGAAGGACTCCTACATGCTAAAGTTAACCATCAATACAATTTTATTGATCCTGATAGAGGAGTTCATACAGAAACAATAGAGAGAATATGGGGTAGTGCTAAATGGAGGAACAAGAGCATCATTTAGAATGTTATTTAGCAGAGTTCATATGGCGGCAGCATCAGGTCAAAGAAAATAGACATTGTTTTTTGAATCTATATCGGCCCATTTTCCACCAAAATCGGATTGACTACTTTGTCTCTATATCGGCCCATTTTCCACCAAAATCGGTTTGACTACTTTGATTTTTGAAAGTGTTTTGATTTTAAATAAAGTGTTTTAATTTATGATTTGTCGCAAAAATTTTAGGTGTAGATTGGCGGCACTTAAAAACCTCCAAATCTGCAGCTGCGGTGGCGTTAATACGTAGGTACCCAATAATCTTAATCATTGTTCAGTGGATCACTTCTGTTGTCTCATGCTGCTTCTGCTGTCATGCATTTTATGCTAGTGAAAGGAGCATGAAGCTGTGAAATTCACACAAGATTGGCAAGGATGTTTCTGCTGTAGATCGTTGTTCTCCTTTGGATGACTTCACTTGATAGTTCAATTATGCAAATACTGCTTGCATGACATATGCAAAACTTAGCTCGCTTTTCGATCACGTGATGCAACATTTAGTTCTTTAGCTCCACTTGAGATTTTATTAGGCTTGTGCAGCATAGTTTCTTATTTCACAATAGCCGCAGCCTGTTTTTTATTCAATGACTTTCATACATATCTAGAAGCAGATAAAGTTATGACTATGTTAGAATGGCCTTCAGGTCTTTTAAAAATTCCTCTGCGCTTTCTTTTTGAGAATCCCATAGGAAAAAAATTTGAAGTGATGGCAAGATTACCAGTACGTAAAAATGGTTCGGAGATGTATTTGTGTAAGCATGTTTAATTTCTTTGAATATAATACAGGGCAACAATATTTAGTGGTAACAATTTAAATTCAAAATTCAGTTCTTTCTCATAACTCAAAAATTAGTAAATTATTTGCAATAAAAATATGTATGTTCTGCTCTTAGGCTAAACCATATGGAAGCAGACTTAGTTCTTCAGATGATGATGAGGATGATGATGTTCCCCGCAAGAAAAGCAGTCACAAGAAACATAAGATTCCTTACACTTACGGTGCAACTCGCCGTCAAAGTTACGATGAAGAAGCAGAAAGTTCTGCTGCGAAAGGATACCGGAGCTATCGAGAACCTAAATACAGAAACTTTGATGAGTTAGAGAGCATGTTCATGCCAAGGAGAATGGATATTGGTGGTCGTTATTCGCAGTATGATTACTCACCAAGAGACTCCAGTACTCCTTTAGTATCACCCAGAGACCCCTACTTGTCACCTACGGATGAACCTACGGACTCCTTTTACCCAATTCCCAAAGTGAAGAGCTATTCGTCGACGTACAGGCAAAGGTAAGCATTTTTCACGAAATTTACTTCTCATCAAAACTTATTACTCATCAAAACTAATTTAGTACTTTTTTTAAAGCTAAGTAAATCAAACTTTTTCTAAGCACTTCAATAGAACAAGTTTAAAAAAAAAAAAATTTTTTTTTTTTCAACCCTATTTTGAATTGTATTTTCGTTGTCTCTGTGTAAAGTTTTTTCACAATTAAACCTTCATTGGGGGTAAATTTTGATGTAGCAGTCTGAGTACATTTCCTGAGATAGCAGCATGGGGTTTCCTTCATCACAAACAAATCGTTTGGCTGATTTCTTTCATTTAATGCAATATTTTCAACGTGACTACCTCCACCTTGAGACATTTAAATTATAGAAGGAGGTGTTTGCACTAAGGGGCTTTATTCTTCAAAAGAGGCTGAAATACCAGCAATAATTTATAAAAATACTGGTCACTTTTAGAGGTGAAAAAACGCAGTTTCACATCTGGAAGTGACCATCTCCCCTAGAACATAAATAAGCATTGGTATAACAAATCATCTTTCTTAAGGCAACCTTTTCTCAAGAGACCAAAAATTATCTAAAAGCATGGATGGTTGTCTTAAAAAACTTCACTGTATACGAGGGCTGTTCAGAAAGTATCGAGACTGAATTTATTGTGCAAAACAGTTTTTGAATCAATCTCCTTCGAAATATGCTCCATTGGCAGTAACACACTTGGCCACTGTGTTTCCAGTCCTCGAAACATTTCTGGAACTCCGACTTTGGGATGGCCTGAAGCTGCTGCTTCGAATTCTGTTTTATGGTCTCGATGTCCTGAAACCGGTGTCCTTTTAAGGTGTTCTTGATCTTGGGAACGAGAAAGAAATTTGGAGGTGACATGTCTGGCGAGTAGGGAGGATGTGCTACTTGGATTGTTCCGTGTTTTGCCAAGAATTGCTGGTGTGCGCTGGGGCACCTTCATGATGAAGCATCCAGCGAGAGGACGCCCACAACGGTCGTTTTCTGCGAACAACCTCTCTTAATCTCCTCATGATGTAGTAGAATTCCTTGTTCACTGTCTGGCCCTGGGGAGCGTACTTATGATGAACAATTCCATCTGCATCGAAAAAAAAAAAACAAGCAACATGACTTTGATCTGGCACCTGCCTTGCTTTCTTTGGCCGATGAGACCCTGGGCTTTTCCATTGTGACGACTGCTGCTTTGTTTCGGGATCGTATCCGTAAATCCACGACTCATCCCCAGTGATGATGAGCTTCATGAACTTCGGATCGTCGCTTGCACTTTGAAACAAATCAGATGAGATTGCCAGTCGTTGGAATTGCTGATCCTCAGTGAGCACACGCGGCACAAGCTTTGCAGACACTCGGCGCATGTTCAAGTCCTATCTCAAAATTTCATAACATGATCCTATGGAAACGCCACACTCCTGTGCGATTTCTCGGAATGTTAAACGACGATCAGAGCGCACCACAGCCTGCACTTGTGCAATCATGTCCTCAATGATAGAGGTGGACGGGCATCCAGAACGCGGATCACTGTCCACTGATTTCCGACCCTCCTTGAATCGACGGAACCACTCGAAAACCTGAGCACGACTCATCTCCAAATGCTGTTTTCATTATCTCGTAGGTTTCGTTGCCCGTTTTACCGAGCTCAAAGCGAAAATTGATATAGATTCGCTGCTTCGTGTTTTCAGACATTTTCTGTTTTCGACGAATGCACGCAAACACTCCACATGAAAGAAGTCAGTGTGACTGAACAGCGCGCTGTACACACCTGCCGGTTTTTTGTGAAACGAGGTAAAACATGCGCGTGTATGATGCGCACAGTCCCACCGCTAGGGGTTTTCCGGAATAAATTGTCTCGATACGTTCTGAACAGCCCTGATATATATAGATACGTATGTACACCATATACAGCCTTTCTTTCTGCTAAACTTTGGTTGCAGACATGCATTTCCAGTTACGAAAATGTTTTAAATGACACAAATATTTATGTTCTGACATTTTTATATTAAGAAAATCAATACAGTCAAAAGTCGTTAATTCGGACACCCATAATTCGGAATGATCTATAATCCGGACATCAAAACTAAAAACTTTCTGCGCATGCGCCGCGTTGACACATGCGCAGAGGCGTTCACGCGTGCGCGTAAGACCTTTTACGACTGCGCATATGAGTGTGCGCAAGTGCAGAATACGTTTTCGCGTGCGCATTTTATGTATAATGGACGTATAAGCTAAATAATTATCTATTTCAGTTAATGTTGATGATTGCGTTGTTCCTTAATTTTCGAATTGCATCCGGCTTATTATTTTTTGCAGACTGTAAGAGAAATTTTATAAAAGTAAGCTTAAACTTTCGATTATATCAAATAGAATTTCCGATATATATTTGTTAATATGTAAAGGATCTAAAGCGAAAGTATGTTTTGAAATCCGAAATCTGTTTATCATTTTCACGCTGCTCGGCGGCGGGCGCGTAATGAATTGGAAGTTGGTTTGTCAGCACTATCCTTATCTTCAGCGCAGATGTTTTTATTTTATTTGGCTTATAATTCCTTACCAAATGTAGTATTTCATCTCGATATGCTCCGTCTTTGATATGATTTAAAACAAGTTCCTCGTCATTATAATTCGCTTCCGATAGCGAAGAAAAGTGACAGAGGTTATTGAAAACAAAAAAATTTCGATTGACAAATTAGTCGGTGTTCTTGACACAGCAATTATAGGACTTGAACGGCGGAACTTTGTAACTGAACAAGAAATTATGTCTGTTTAATAGAATTAAAGAGAAAGTATTATCACATGAAACGAAGCAAAACTTAACAACTTACATTGAAAGAAATGTTTAATAAAGTAAACAAATAAATATTAAACTTTTTCTTTTTGCAAATTTTGATACCCTTTAGATCATAATTGTTCTTTATTTCATAAATTACGGTTTCATATTTTTAATTTTGGAATTTCTGCATGCCATCTTACGAGATTTAAACTGATGATCTATAATCCGGAAAAATCGATAATCCGGAATCGCCGAAGTCCCGACGAGTCCGGATTAACGACTTTTGACTGTATTGTAAAAATGATGAAATCTGATTTTTTTAACGGTCCCTATAGTTATATTTAGTAAAAGTTGACTCTCTTAGAAAATAAACTGGCCGTGATATCTTAAAATTTCAGATCATTCTTTCCTAAATTCAGGGATCATACTCAAATTAAAGAACAAAGTATATAAACCCACATGCAACTAAAAATGAAGTATCAATTCAGTACAGTATAAAACTATTGTTTTAATATAAAGCTTCTGATGTTCACAGATTGAGACAAGTATTGAGCATTCGTATACAGACTGTCGTTAAAAGTTTTGATCATGCAATTGTTTAAAAAAAAGATCTTGTTTACAAACTCATAGAATTTGTGTTATAGAAAATAATGGCAGATTTCAAGTATTGGCACACAGTCAGTTATTTATATAAATGAAAAATATTTCTAGTCCAGCGACTTTTTTCCCTTTTTGTTTTTGCTTCTGTTAATGACTAATTAGATTATGATCTTACTGATTAATCAAACTGTATTTAAATACCATGAATGTATTTTTAACATTTGAAGACGTAAAATGCGGATGTAAAAATGCTTCCAGCATATCAAATGTAGTAGAATTTTAAATTAAAGAATGTTATACGGTAGCAATTCTCAAAGGAACATCACTGAATTACATCGAATGGGAAAAGTAAAAAAAAAAAAAAAAAAGAGGGCAATAAGTTTGATTTTTCTGGCACTTTAAAATCTCTAAAATTCTCAAACCTCTAATCTCGGTCAAATTTTGTAGTACAGCAGTAAGACGTTCTATTTTTTAGATTAAAGTGTAAACTCAGCTTACTCAATCCATGACAGAATATGTGAATTTCATACAAAGACAAACGGGTCATTGGAATCCTGTTCTACTTGTATTCCTCGATAACTTCTACTTTTTTGTAAATACGTCAGTTTGCATACTTTTGAACAAAGTTGAAATGGAAAGGCTGGAGCAAAAGTTATATTTAGTAAAAGTTGACTCTAGTTAGTTAAATTGTTTAAGTACCTAGTTAAGTACCTCACTAGTACCTAGAAATTTGTTTCTTACATGTATTGGGGGATAAAACACAAGTCCATTTTCTTATCTGAAATATATGATATTAAAAACCAGTTATACTTAACTTCTAAAGTGGTATGAGCAGATACAGTTTACAGTAAATGCTGAACCTGCAGAACTAATTTTATTATTGAATTTAACTAAGTATCTTCAGTCGTTGACATGAAACTATCGCCCAGTTAAAAGTTTGAATTTAGTTATAATGTTTAATCCAATACATTGGGCTTATTTAAAGATAATTAAGTACTCTGTTAGCTTACAGAGAATTTTGTAACACTGAATAATAAGGAAACTGTTTAAAAAGTGAAATTTTATTAAAATCAAATTATCAAACATTACCAAAAATTGCATAAGAGTTTTCCCTTCTTCCATACGGAAAAAAAATACTGTAATGCATGCAAGTCTTATTTTTTGAACTAATGTTCTTGCTATATACAAATCGTATTTGAATATAGCTAGCAGTTCAGTAAATCAACAGAATGAAATTTAAAATTGCTTTTTAAGTTTGGAATTTGATTAATAAATCATCATGAATAAAGTAATATTTAAAAATGGTTAATAATAATATGAGGGTGGATCCAAAAAAAAAAAAAAAGGTTACAACGAAAATAAAAATGATTTATTAAAAAAACAGATAGAAAATACAAAAGGGAATTTACTGGTATACCTGCCATGTCATTCTTCCACATAATCACCAAATCAATTTAGGCATTTACCTGAAAGCAAGACCAACTTGTTTAATCCGGCTTGGTAGAAATCATGTGCCTGCCCATTGAGCCAGTTCTCAGTCACTATTTTCACATCACTGTCTAAAGAGAACATTCCAAATAAATGCTCCTTCAATTTCAGAAAAAGAAAATACATTGGGTGCTAAACCTGGGTTATATGGGGGGTGACTCTAGATTTCCCACTTGAGGAGGATGCAGAATGATGACACCATCACTCAACATGTCAAGGCGTTTGCATCAGATGGCTTCACGTAACCTTGTCTAAGTGGCATAATAACGATCAGCAGTAATGGTGTCCACCCTCCAAATATTTGATAAGGACAACGAATCACGGCTTGTACCTATAAACGAGACCACTTTTCTGAACATGTTGCCATTTCAATCGCTCTGATAGCTCTTTAAACTTACTCTACCTACCCACACAATTACTGCTAGACAACTAGTGCCATCTGCCTACACCCTGGGGATAAAGGATTCCCTCCATAATAATTACTTTTCAAATGCTGATGCCTGTAACATTTTTTTAATCCACCTTTGTATAATAATGATTAGAAATACAGATCTTTATAAGTGCATCAATTTAAAAATATGCAATGAAATCTTTTATTTCAGTGGTCGGATAATACCAAGTTATGGTGCAGGAAAATATGATGATCCTGACAATTATCATAGTGACCATATACATGGTGGTTATGCAGGAGATAGCTACGTAGGGCCAACCTCTAAATATCCATCAAATGGAGAACATTATGGCTATGAAGAGGATTATGCCATCGAAAGTAACAAACCCATCATGGGAGACATAAGGAAAAGACTACTGGATTATGCGGGAGCTTCGGATTTGTACGAAGGAGAACCGGACTACCTTCGAGAAGTTGCACGAAATAAAAATAAATATGGAAGCATAGGAAATGACTATTATGCATATGGAGGCCCAGAGTACAGAAGTTCATACAGAAACTTTCCATATGTTGAATCTAAAATAATGATAGTTAAAAAATCTAGGACATTATAAAGAGTTTTGAACATTTCAAACAGTAGATAGTATTTCAGTATTACATGCATCAAATACAATAGAGCTCCAAATTTTCACCACAGTCCCCTCTGTATTCATAAAAACCAGGTATATTCATAAAAACCTGGGTAATTGGATTACATTTTTAATATAAACTAAATATTATGCATGCAAAATAATTTTAATTATTTCTGCCACTCATTTAATACAATATTTTTAAAATTAACTTTTAAATCCTTAAACTATGAAACACTTTTTCGACAAAATTAAACAATGAAATTATTTTTTACCTTCTATTTATATTTTAATTAGAATAAAACAATGAATACATTAATTTCACAAGCATGCTTCCTTTTGGAGATAACTAATTACTCAGCTATCCAGAAAAAGGAAGCATGTTATATGTTATGCTCAAATAAATCAAAACATTACATGTCATACTCAAATAAAAAAATAACTTTTTATTCTCAAGAACAAAAAATCACATGACTGTAGTTAACATTGTATATTCAAAGGCTAAAGTATACAGAAACTCACAACAGTGTGTTTCTTTTATCTATTTTCAGAAAGAAGGACTTATGGATAAGCAATGATTCAAGAAGTAAATAAAAAACATTAGCCCCATGTAGGTACATAATTGGTTTTCCGTTAATATTTATAAACTACATAACTGTTGAACATAGTATGCCAATCTACATGCCATACATATTAAGTTAACAGCATCTTAAAAATACGAACTATATATTACTTTTTTAGTATTTTAATGAACAAAGAACGTGAATAAATGGACAATAAATTGTCTTCAGGAGGGAAAAATGAAAACGATCCGAATAATAGTTCTACGGTACCCAGCTTTAGACATGCAGGATCATTCCATTCCTTATCAGAATAGCAAAAATACAATTATTTTTAAATGCAAAATTAAATAACATTTTAACTGCAGCAAAAATAATTCTGATAACATGATAATATTAATAATAATATATTGGAAAAAATGTAATCTTTCAGTTCAAATGTAATAAAACAATGATGTAGTGCCACCTTAAAAAAAAAAAAAAAAAAAAAAAAAAACCACCTTTACAAGAATTGTTGAAAGAATGAGTTCAGATGAATTTATTTTTTATATTAGAAAACCTTTATAAAAAATCTTATATATGGGCTTCTCACATTAATTTTTTAAACATTTTATTTGATAGTGTATTTCTAGCTGTTGGAATGTGATAACGGAACATATGTTTACAATCTTATTTTTCTGTTAAACGTTCTTATATTGTTATATGCATTTATTTGTTATATAAACTTTTTTTAACTTATTGTCTGGAGTCATTTTTAAAAATCAGTTTGGAAGCATGAAACATTTCATGTTTTTGCATGAAAACAAATTTTTCACATAAGTGATGTAAAATAAGTTATAAATTCCAGGAATTAGAGAAAATCATCTATTTAATGGAAACATTCACAAAATAAAACTCTTATATAGACAAAATTCTGGTTGCATATAAAAACACTGAATTTTTTTTTTTTTTTTGAACAACATTAAAGCAATAATCTAAAAACATTGTTATTATACGAAAAGTACTAGGTAACGCAATTTAAAAAATCTGATGTGTACATTACGATTTCCTTATAACGGAATATTAAATCATATGCATTTTTAGCTGCATTTCATTTAAAATTATTTCCTTGAATTTCATTAGAGATATATTTCTCATTCAACTGATTCAGTTCTCACTTCGCAGCAAGGCAAAAATACATAAAAACGCAAAATATCTTCATATATTTGGAGTAATACAATTTTGAAAAGAAAAAGTTGAAAGATATAACAAAACATAATGCACAAAATACAGATAAAAAAAAAATTTTTTTACAATTAAAATTACAGTTTTTACGCAAAAACAAGCCATTCGGCCAGCAGGCAAGAAGGCAGATTTTATTTTTTCGGTGCACAAAACCCACAGTTTCCTTTTGGTTCCACTCGGCAAAAAAGAAACCTGCAGAAAGACTTAATTGACTATTCTGCTAAGTCTCAAATGTAAACAAAAATGGTTAGATTATTCAATTACAGCAAAGCCTCAAGGGCTATCTGCCTAAGGGGAGGGATGCCTTTGTGGAGGACTTTCTAAGGGATAGTGGCTCGTATACACGTTACACATGAGGAAAACCACGAAAATACCCATGCAGCCAGCCCGTTCATGGGATTTGAACCTTGGACTGAACTACCAGTGTTCAGCGACTTTACCGCAGCACCTAAACAACTTTTAAATTGTTCATAATTCTATAACTATTGCATGCAGATTAACTAAAGATGTAGAAACTTCAAGATAAGAACAACATAATTCAATCATTTTTAAAGCAAAAATTGCACAATTTACCAACATATAAGAATAAAAAATACCGAGCTTAGTGTACAACTAAATGTTATAGCAGTCCTATATACAAAATTTCAAGGTTCTGAGGCTACTCTTTTTTGAGTTATGCGAAACCTAAACATACATACACGGGCACACATAGTACAGAGGTCACGAAAACGTCTTTTCCGAATTCACTTTAAATTCTTTTTGCAACTCGTTTTGGTAAAAAAAGTGCTTTGCTCTGTCCTTATGGGCAGATGACACGCAAAAACATCATTAAATTGCATTCAATAGAGCAGTCAAAATAGATATTTTGCTGAAATATGACACGCGAAAATTTTCGAGATTACAATACTTCCTTTTGCTGAAATATGACACGTGAAAATTTTCGAGATTACAATACTTCCTTTACTTCGTACAAGGAAGTAAAAGGCAACTTATAACTAGGCGGCATGCAAATGATCATTCCACAGCCGTTGTAATATGTCAAGATAAATAAAATAATAAAAATTTCAGGTAATCTTCCGATGCATACAAGATAAATAAAATAATAAATATTTGAGGTAATCTTTCCGATACATATAAAAGAGGACTTGTATTACTTCATAAGGCTATGAATTTTGCTTGATTTTTAAGATGCTTTATGTGTTTATCCCTACAAAATTATAACTGAAAAATTAAGAAATAAAATGTGCTGGTTGGTTTAATATTTGACTTGAGAAACTGAGTCCTTACATTAAAAAAAAAAAAAAAAAAAATGAAGCTGTGATAAAGAAAATATAAATATAAATTTGGATATATAGTACAAAGTCTTTTATTAAAATAAAGTTTGTGGGTTGAAAAACAAAAATGTGAGGAATAAATAAGAAAATTACCAGACGTTTTGAAGAATTGAAAGTCATGGAAAATAATACAGTTTTCGATACATATAAATTTCATGCACATTTCTTTTCGGTGTTTACTTTATTAAAAAGTACAAAAAATCTAGTTCTTTGAGCATAAGTTATCATTTGGTTGACTTAACCACAAATTAAAGTCTACATTTTTTAAATACAGAAAAAAATTATAAACTTGAGAGCACATAATCCAAGATACTTGAGCTGCAGTAGAATTTTAAAAAGCATACGAAACGGAGTATAGGAAAAAAACAAGGGAGAGAGAAAATTATCAGCAAGTATCATGATGAATCATGTGTAGAAACTTAACAGACAGTCATTGGAGGGGGGATTTTAATAGCAATATTAAGATATGAAGGTAACTTTACAAAATTGATTAAAGAAGTTATGAGAATAAATCATGAATGTTCTGTGCTTCGAAATGACAATGGATAATGAAAATGTGTGTGAATAAATCATGATGCATTAAATAACTGAGAAAACATTTTCCTTTAGAACATCGATTTTCTTTCGATACCTTTTTGGAGCAACTGCCCGTGCAAATATCAAAATTGTAAGGATTGGCCGAATGAGCATCAGTAAAAAGTTTATTTGGCACAAAAATAAAGCTTGCTTTTCTTCCTATAATGTACTCCCCCTCCCCTGAGGGTAATCTAGTATACTGGCAAAGATCTGCACTCTGGCAATCTTGTCATTGGAGGTATACAAGCACGAATCCAGTTCCTAATGCCAGAAAGGGCTGTCTTAGTGGCTTCAGCCATCTTAGAAGTTACTGTGGCGGCCAGGAACATGATATCACAGTCACTCTTACCTACCCTTGTGTAGAGAGACAAGTGCCCAGTGGACAAGTTCAACAATGGGGGTCATTCAGAGAGGTCTATTTTGCATAAGTCTGTTTCTGGGATTGATGCCCCAGGTTCACAGCTTGAAGAAATTTGTCATACCTTCTCCTTGAAGTGATTTTGGCTGGCTTGCCCACCTTCTGTCTAATACGGAGGCTCTTTAGCTGGGTTTTGGTCACCTTAGTTGCATTAATTTGCAGAAAAGGCTAATAAAATTGATTGATTCCTATGAAGCAGTGAGAAGCCATAAAGGCTGCATTAGTTTTATAAACTGTGTTGGTAAGTAATTCTTGGATTCAGGATTCTATTTTTGAAATATCTTCTGATGAAAGGACATAACATTTCCCTTATTTTGCCATTATTTTAATTTTTGACCTTTGGGTAATTTAGAAAATCATAAAAATAAATAAATAAATAAATAAATAAATAAAATAAAAAAACAATGTTAGCTTTCAGAAAGAAAAAGTGCTACATTTGCTACTTTGTCGTAACAAGAAGGTTATTATGGCTGACATTACTGGTAATTTCAGTCTCAGAGATAGGTCTGACATTTCTGGACATGAATCTGCAATCAGAGAGATATTTTTTATGTGCCTATATTCACAGCACAATGCTTACAGTGTAGGCACGACCATTAATACTAGAACAATGCTATATACAAATCTAATGTACATCAATCAGCTGCGTAGAACAGAGAACTGGGGGGGGGAGGAGTCAGTGTACACATTATCAAGGAAAGACTAAAAAATATTATTGAAAAATCTTTTATTATTTTGTTCAAAAACAGCATTTAATAAAACTTAATGCACCTTAGCAAACAAAGAAATAAAAAAAGAAAAAATTGCACACATTTTTATTTTTAAAAATATTCAATAGCAAAACAAAACAAATTTTATTATATTGACATGTGAATATAAGATAATACTTTTTGCCTTAAAGTGCCTTTGTGAAATCTATATACCTGTCTTATCAGTTAACATTTAGGAACTTTCTTAAGCTAATTTCACATTCATTCTTTTAACTCAGGGATTCCCAAACTTTGTCTTCCATCACCTCTTTTGTTTAGGAATATTCTTTGATATTGCCAAGAGATGGCGTTTGGAGTCCATCTATTGGCTTACTTAACCCTTCCCCTTCTGAACACGTGACTTGGAAAAATATTCTTCTTCTTGAAGGTAGATTTCGATGCACTATGCAATAGAATTCGATTTAGATTCTTAGATGAAACTATTCAGTTCTTGCTTTTTGAGCTTTAATATTCGATTCAGGCATTTTAGCCTACATTGTATATATGTAAATATTAAGTTTAATTAAAATTTATGAAAAACCCTCCAGGCCATGCATCTTGTTTTGGATTATGAGTGATTCGAATTTGATCTAGAATACTTTCGTTTCGCTTTTAAAAGAATGGTTTTCTTCATTAACTCTTTCGCATCGAGAGACAACCAAATCTGTTTTCAACAAACATCGAAAACGCCTGTGTTTACGAATTTGTCTTGGAATAGTTTTCCTTTCCCCCTTGCTGCTCTTGGAGGTTTTTCTGCGGTTTCTTTCATTGTGTGCAGTTTCACCTTCGGGCCGGATTGCACCTACGAACGTCAATAGCTTTCCGTATTTCTCCTTTATTTGCTTCAAAAGAATGATTGACATGTTTTTTAACAACTCGCGAAACCAATGAGCCATACACTAACGTGGAGGGGAAAGAACTAGGTAGAAAATAAACGAGGCGTTGGGGCGGTTTGCCGTTGCCTGAATGAACGGGCGACTTCGATGCGAAAGAGTTAAGCCTCTTACATTTTTATTGATAATATGTAACATACAACGTAATCAGAATATAAATAACTTTAAAATAACAACTAAACAAAGAATAAAAATGAACACCGTAAAAAGAATGGTTTATCAGATTCATGTTTTATCATATTTTGTAACATTATTTTCAATTTTACAAACACAAGTTTTCAGAAACAAAACATACATTCTCACTGCACAAAAGTTTGATTATAATTTATGTGATGACTGTGCTTGATGTATTGATGCTTTTTTTTTCTTTTTTAATATTTGACATAAAATTGCTTAACTTAATTTTTCAACTAGCTTGTTCAAAAATATTCAACTGTTTCTGATTTTTCCCAGTAAATTATTGACTTCACTGAAGCCTGCCTACTTTAGTCTTATACTTTAAAACAGGCACTTCAAAATCGTTACCAGCCTCTCCATTTGCAATCGTAACTCACGTCATCATCACCGAATGGAAATTATTTTCTTATTGTCGCTTGAAGTTGAAGTTCAACTCCTTTCACTTACTTTTCATGAAGTGAACCACATAGAACGAAAATGAAGTGCGGGAAAAAATAAAGCAACTTGACATTTTTTTCTGCGGTTATTGATCCCATGATTATCAGTCGAACTGTGCAGCAGAGAATAAATTTGATATTTTAAAATTATAGACTACAGGTAATAAGAAGGAAAAGTCTGGTAATGACTTTCATTTGGGGATCTTTTTACTGGAGGATTTTTCAATTCCAATGCTTAGCATATCTATGCATTTTGAATAAGACTTCACTTATTGGTACGGTATAGCTTTATATCAATAAATAATTAACTACCAATTTTTTGTAATCGATGGGATCTTGATTATGACAACCGATTTCCTGTCTGTATTCAACTATCATCACACCCAATCACTCCTTGATCATCACTGACCCTTTTAACAATTTCATTGACCCCGTTGGGAATCCCTGAAATTTAACTATACACTACCAGAAAATATATTTATTTGGTGTTATCACATAGTATAGTAGTCAGATAAGTTAACGATCTTTCTTAAAGATGTATGACCATATATATAAATTTAGTTCAAAATATTAAGCTTCTAGATGTCAGGCTGTCCTATTTCTTCTGTATTCAAAAATGAATGATCATATTATACATGAAACCATCTGATATATTAGACAATACACTGTTCTCAGACAAAAAAAGCAGTAGTTTAGTTTCTAATGGACAACACAGTTCTTATAAGTGACCTTTCAATTACAAACAACAGAAAATATTTCAATTACAACAGAAAATATTTAATGTGTTATTAAAAACAACAATTTACTCTGAGAAACAAGAAAAATTTCCAAATTGTTCTCTATCCCGCTCCCAAAACGCTTGCTCATTTTTTAATTAATACAGTGCTTGCTCATTTTTTAATTAATACAATTTAAAAATTTAATCTGATTTTAAGATGTTTCTGCTATTTCTGCACCAAAAATAAATTATTACACGGCAATACAAGACAGCAATTTTCATTTGTTACGGCCACAGGATAATTAAACAGAATATATATTTATACTGACTGACTAGAGTAGACTAGAATTAACAGTTCATTCTAAAAATATGTCTCATAGCTTTCAATTATTATATATATATACAAATGACCATACAAATACACATGCACAGATAAAGTTAATATCTAATACAATATGAAAACAAATTATCAAAAAGTATCACAAAGTTATTCCACAATAATATTTTGTTAAGGCACATAGGAAAATGTATATACAAGTCATTTTGCATAATTCCAAAGTCACTTTAGTTTCTTTCTCTCATTAAGTATAACATTCAGTATTAAAAGGAACTTTTAGTACAGTTTAACACGTTAACTAGAACAGATAATAGTAATTTATTAATATAAAAAGAAATATCACTGGTATTTAAAATACGATTACAATTTTTCAGGTACTAAGAAAAGACGTAAAAAATTTATCACAGATTTTTTTTCCCCTTAAGTATACTAAACAAATATATCATATACATCTGACCAGTATAAATCCCAATAATTAAAATTGAGAATGGTTTTCTAAAGTCCTTGAGCAAATTTAAATGTCAATTTTAGTTGTATACATGCTATTAATAATCTTCATATAAATGCTAGACTTATACATTTTTCAGGCAATTGTTTGAAGCCACAATATTTTCAACAAGATAACTTTTAAAAGAGCTGTTCAGAAGGGCTAAAGACTACTAAATTCACCTGATTTGATCATGTCAGAATAGTTGCCCACTCATCAAAGTGCATTCTCATATGCAAATTACACTTACAAATGTGAAATATAATAGGCAATATTTTCTAGAATTATGTCCTTCCAGGCCAGTTTGAACAGCATGTCTAATCTAGCTTCAGCATATTTAACATCATAGGTCATCAGTACAGTTTATCAAACCTCTGTAAATTAAATATATTAATAATTCAAAGTTAAATGTACCTTTACTTTCTTGCTGCCATAAAAATAATTTAGCTGACATGCTCTGAAAAATCAGTGCCCTAAGCAGCTGCTACATAATCTATGCCTGGAGCTGGCACAGCTGTTTCCTACCTGTGATGTTTTACATTAACAGGGAAATTGTTTTCAGTGCTTCATTGCATATATGTTATGAAATAGAGGACCTAATTACCAATACATTAGGGAACCTAGTTACATAACCGAACTAAGCAAAATTGTTGGAAATAAATATGCCTCAAAATGTTTCATTCAAATTTCAGTAGCATAAAAAGCAGAATAGCAATTTAGGAATGCTCTCAAAGAATTGAAAACCAGCACACAGAAAATATGTCATAAAAGATGGCAGCTATATTGAGTACTAGAAACATGATCTACAATGTTGTAAAACCTTATAGGTAAGGTTAGTTTATGCACAGTTTACAGTGTATTTCTGTTATTACAGATAATGTACATTTAGACATGCACATGATTTGATAAATCCCTAGCATTAGAAACAATCATACATTTAAAAGATATTTTAAAATAGGAAAAGAAGATATCCATAGAGAATTACACTGTTTCAATATAATAACAAAAAATGGATGTTACCAAATCTGTATACAAAAGTAACAAATAACATTCATATAAAATTAACAAGTAAAAGATAGTAACACGGAATAATGAGAAAAGAGGATATGTCTTGTAAATTCATAATCACTAGCAGTTAGAAGGGTAACACTTCTAATTGTTGATAATTTTGTTGACAATTTGAACTTTTATTTCTGTTAGGACAAACTGCTTGAAAGATATAAAAATTGCATAACTGAGAATATAAAATTTCCCTATGAATTAAAATTGAACATTGTAGAAAAATATGTTCCTGAATTAATGTTACTTAAATGAAATTATGATAAATAGTTACTGCTTTCAATACTAAACATACCTTAAAATGCTAACACTAAATTAAATTTCACAATTTTAAAATGATAAAAAGATAATTAATACTTTAATATTAACAATAATTACTTGCATTAAAAATGCAGACCTTTACTACTTTCATAAAAAAATAGTTAAAAATAAAATTTATAAAAAGTTTACACCGTTTTTTTAAATTAAACATGACAGTTTGCATTCTTGATACATTTTATATCAAAGACTGATATGGTAAAAATGTCATTCTCATCTTATTATAATAAATATATTTTAATCATTATCAAAAGTATCACTTTTGAAGTGAACACTTTCTTCAGTACGTTCAAAATCATCTCCTTTTTTCTTAAGTGAAGACAGGTTATTCTAAAAACAAAAAAGAGGGAAAAAAATTACAGTTTTTCCATTACAAGAAAAAATGAATTGTAAAAGGAATGAAAAAAAAAAAAAAAAACTACTATATATACAGCATATGTTTATACATATACACATTTAAAAAACTTCCTTTTCATGAATATATAGGGCAATTAAAGTTGTGATTTCAAAACGCTCTAACTTTAAAACTACCAGCCAGAATGACTTGACATTTTACCAGAAAAATTGTGAGGTAATGGAATTTTGTTTGATGAAAGGGGAAAAAAAAAAGTTCCAAAATATGGTGATAGATGACGTTATCAGGGTTCACATCGCTGTAGTGGAGTATGCAAATTACTAAGGCATGACATGTGCACCACAGACATAGCTGTGATAAAAATTCAGAGCATCAGCGGAACATATAATGCTTTGTCTGAGTGCTTCATCATTACTCTGACAAAGAAGGATCATGTTCTGTCTGTGAAGCTTTTCTATCCGAATGGTTAATGTGCATTAACAGCTATCAGAAAGTTCCAAACATTAAAAGGCATAAAATCCGGCCTGATGACAAAATATGACTCGTGGAAAATGATCAATTCGAAGACACAGGTTCATTAGATGTGAAATGAGGTAGAAGACAAAAAACAAATTTGGCCATAGCAGTGGAAGATGTGGCCACAGCATTACAAGAACAGATAAAAAGTGATGCAGAAATCAGCAATGCAAAGGGAACTGGCCGAATGTTTGATATGCTTATCAGCATAATGTGTAAAGTCCTACAGAACATCTTGTGCTGTTATGCATATGAGATAATCATGTGCAGCAGTTGCAACCTGCTGACCTGGAAACATGTGAATTGTTTGCACTACGATTTCTTGCCCAGATGGAAGTGGACAATGAATAGCCACTCTGGGGTCTGATAAAGCCCATTTCCATTCACAAGATTCTGTAAATATGTAAAAATTGCAGGATATGGGTGACCGAGAATCCACTCCCACTACAGCCTTATCTTTTCAGTCTGAAAATGTCACTGTGAGGAATAACAACAGCATTTGTCCTCGGTCCATTCTTCATCATGGAGATCACACCTGGAGGTCCCGTTACCTGCATCATTACTGGCAAGGCATATAAAGCACTTTTGCATAACCACGTCCTTCCGGCACTTCAGCAGCATCAGTGTGTGGATTGCATAATATTCATGCAAGATGGCACTCCTCCGTACATTGCTACTCGTGTGAAGTAGCTGCTGATTGCTTATTTTGGAAATGATAGAATCATAGGCTGCCTTTTTCCGACAGAATGGTTTTTCAGCCATGTTCCCCCGACCTAAACACATGTAAATTTTGGCTTTGAGGATGCTTGAAGAACATTGTGTACAGCGGACGGATTGCAAATTTGGCCGACCTGAAGGTAAGCATCCTGTACCTCATTCATAGCATTAGCACAAATACCCTGCAATCTGTTGCGGAACATAATTGTGCTTCCAACTAGTAGCAGAATGAGGCAGAGGGCATATTGAAGAACTTATGCATTAATCATCCATAAGAAGTCTGTTTCATAAAGCTTCTCTTTTTCTCTGGTCACTTTCGCTGTTTTTGCTGTAAACATGTATTCTTGCCTTTTTGCTAATTTATTAGTCTTTACTGTTCTGAGGTTTTCTACTGCTTCCTTTTGACTAATGACATTTCTGTGTTTAATAAATCCTTTTAGGCCTTTCTTCTAACATTACAATGACAATATTAGCACATCTATCAGCACATTTTGAAACTATTCCCCCCCCAAAAAAAACCATTGTTTCATAATTGCTCATAAAATATCAAGTCATTCTGAACTGTAGTTTTGAAATTCTAGCATCTTGAAATGGCAATCACCCTGTATGGTTGCTTCACTGATCAGCACTTTTGAACTGGATAATGTTATTTTCTACCAGAAATATTCATTTGATTTCATATCTTTTAACTATCAACACATTTACCAGCCCCAATAGTCATGTTTTTGGCTGTGGGATGGCACTCAAATTCATGCTTTGCTTCATTTGGCAGTGCAGTATTATCACTGATTCAGACACTGTATGGGCAACTGTTCACCAAATAACAAAGTGCGCACTTACATTGCAAGGTGTGTAACTCATGCATTTTTCTCATCCTGACCACACAGTTCTTCCAGTACAGATACTGTTAGCATTCTTTCTTTTTTAAATTTTTCTTATATAAATAATAGATAGCATGGATATGAGAATAAATGATTTGTCTGAAGAATCTGTAGCTGGAAACAGGAGAAATACAGCAAGAATACTTTCAACCTCTTCAGACACTTCACCGTTGATGTCCATGGAGCTCCGTGCTCAATTTATCAAACTGTGAGACATGTAGCAGCTCTGTCTGAGGGATAGCAGCAATAGGTTTTTGATGTTCTACTATAGCTTTTCCAGTGTCTGAGGATTTTGAGTACATCTGGCTCTTCAGTTAACCCCACAGGTAAAAATCACAGAGCGAGAGATCAGGCAATTGAGGTACACAGCATGTGAGAGATGAGCATGTGCAGACATACGATAGCAAACAATAGTTACATTGACATCCCCAGTGACCATTTCAAGCATTTTCTATAAAGGGAAATTCTGTACCAGGAATCCAAATATTTTTCCAGATTGGTTTTGCTTTGACCACCCTGCACTTTGTTAAAATGAAACTTCTAAGAAAGTGCTATGCTTCATTTCTTCACACTCCCGCAAACATCTTCCAAAACGGCAAATGTGTTATTATGAATTTTAGCAAGGATTGCAACATAGGACTAGTGTAAATCTTTGCCTTGAAAACCAGCACATTAAAAATGAATTATATGTAAAATGTGTTTGTCAATTGTATAATTTCAAAAGTCACTAATACAGAAGTAAATACTGAAAAAGACTATGCAAAATAAAAATATTTAAAAAAAAAAAAAAAAAAAAAAAAAAAAAACCTATATGAAATATATGAAAAAACCTATATAACTATATGAAGTATGTAAAAAAAAATATAGTATATATATATAGCACATACCACACATACATTCTACAGAACTTTATTAAACAACACATTCATCTTTCTGTAATTTCATCAATTTTGGCTTAGCAGTGAAAAACCCTCGACAGAGACTTGCAAAAGAACTTCCCAGCCTCAACGATATATGCACATTTGCACTTTTCGTCCTGAAAGGGTTAATTAATTAATAATTTGCATTTCCTATGTGCTTCTATTTTTGTCCTTTCTGTACATGTAATGAAATTAATGATTTGCCCCTGCACCACTTGATAGCCTTCCTCTTCAAGAAAAAAAAGAAAAGGAAAAAAACTTTGCAAAATAAATGATACGTTTGCCAGTGAAACATACAATAAAATTATATGAACATGCTATATCGAGTCAAATTTGTACTCATAATAGTTCTTCCTTTTTTCCTTATTCTTACCTAAAGCAATCACATCCAACTATAGAAATGGACATATGCTTTCAATAAAATTACACTTAAAAACTTACATTGATATTATTTTCGACCACACTCTCAAATTTTATTGCTTTATAAACTTCTTTTTTTTTCAACACATAAAGTACAACAATATCACATAATATTGTAGCCTGAAAAGAAAAACACAAAAACAGAATTAGTTTTATTTCTTATTTACAATACATGTAGTAAAATCAAACTGAAAGAGAAACATGTCACTGTAAAATTTTAAACTGGGACTTTTAATTTGGCATAGACTTTGAATAACACTATCAATTTCAAGATTCATAAAACACAGATCCTTCTTCTTCAGGAGGGGGAAAAAGAGAGAGAGAGAGAAAGAAAAGAAATCTTCGCCACTTCTGAAGAAGATGGACCTATTGCATGGTTCACAAAACTGATAAAGTTTAATTCAAAATCTAGTCAAAACTAAGGTTGTAGACTTTTTTTTTTTTAATCTAATCTGAAAAACATAAAGTAGAGCACTATTTTCTCTTCAAATTTGTTTATACAAGTATGGGTCAAATACTACTCATTTTTATTTTTACTACTCATTTTTATTTTTCTATCCTCCAATAAAGTGGACAGTGATAACTACATGTGCTCATATACACATCTGTTCTCATGCTTTAATTTGAAAATGCTGTATCAGTCATAGCATATCCTCTGAAAATATAGTATTTCGGTTTTGCAAACCAATGAATTTTTAAAAAATTTTAAAAGCAACATATCTTTAGAATTACTGATAGAATGTTAAGCGTTGCCATACATTTCTTTTTCAGTTTTTTCTGTTTATGGCATCAATGTTCAGTTTTCTTAATAATATGACCAACTTTTTTATTTGCCACTTTAGCTTTATTTATTAAATATCGCTTTCAACTTATGCAACATAAAATTCAATAACAAAATCACAAAATCTTTAAAATCAGCATACCTTTAGAATTCCCAACAGAGCATTAATTGCTGCCATAAACTTTTTCTATATTATTTCATTTCTTTAAAAATAATACATAGTGATAACATTTTTTGCCACTTTTTAAATAAAATATTTAAAAAATTATTTGAAACAAAAATGAAGTGAATAAAAAACTGAAGATGGAGGGCATTACATTTAATTCGTCACGAAAGCTCGTCTTCAAAATGAGCTTCTTGTAGCATTTAACATAAGTCCAAAAATATATTTAATGCTTATAAATGTAATATATTGTTCTCAGACACATACCTGTTTTAGATACAAAATCTTAAAAGTGTAAGATTATTTCATAACATATTTTTTATGAAAGACTATTCAGAGCTTCAAATAAAGTATCACTTTCGGTTTATCAATTTTAGTCAAAATTTAATATGTTGTTACCATTGATATAAAAGTCTTAAATACTAAAATTAAAAAGTCTTGGATTATATTCTAATATGATTTGTCATTAAAAATTGTTATGGGCTTCAAATAAAGTACCACATCCAACTGCCCATTCAAGACCGTTACAAGCTTCACATAAAGTAACACTTCTCATTGCCCAATTTTATACGAAATCTAATCAACTCTATAAGACTGCTTGGATATGGAAAATAGAAATTCTGAGAAGTTTCATATGAGAGTTTTCATGGACAAAACATATTGTCACACACGTGTAAACAGAGAAACAGCATTGCAAAAACATGTTATGGGGAACTTAATTTATGTTCATCCACTAAAAATTCACTATCAAATGTTTGCTTTTGTAACACATGTAAACAGCTATCTTAGGTCACCACTTAATAAGCATTTATTACATGGACAAAAGATTCCATGGTTCATTATTTTTACACATCTAGAGATCACTTGTTTTCATTTTAAAATAAGCATTTACCACAAAAAAAAGGGAAGGGTGATTCAACATTATTTTTTTCTCTGTATTTGAATGATGCTCTATTTCATTAACCGCTAACTTATATTAAAGTTTCAGTGTATTATAATACAGAAAGAACCCTCCTCCAAAAAAAAAAAAAAAAAAAAAAAAAAAAACCAACTAATTAAAAAAATTGAGAGTGTCAAAATGTAATCTAGAAATTATAAATGTATACATATAATTCTTTTACAAATTAAAAAATGTCATAGCTGCTACAAATATTTAATACAGAGTTTACTAGTGAATCGAGCAATTTCCAATTTCATAACGATGTGATCTACTTTTAGCATGAGTATCGAAGGAGAGTGTTACAACCAGGTGTTGCAACCCAGACTAATGAACAACGTTCATTTGCTGTGAAAGCTTTTTAGTGAATAATGATAGTCATACTACAGTTAAATGTGAAATTATTATTGATATATCACATTAATCTGAACAGTACAGTACTATTTAACCATGCATTCCAAACATGGGTGAAGACCTTGGAAGAGATTGTATCAACCATTAAGAGTGTGATTTTCTGTATGTGTGTAATGATTTTGAAACTCATAAGAATACTGATGCTGTACAGTTGTCAATGGGAACAAACTCCGTAATGGCTGACATTACATCATATCCAAAACCAATATTAGTCCTATTTTAGACTTGGATATTTATTTCCATCATTTCAAATCTAAATAATATTAAGAACTTCACAGGGATGATCTAAATAATAGGCTATGCTTTTATTAACAAATGTTAAATTTAATGAACAAGAACAAAGAAGTTTTGAACATTCTAATCATAAGCAATAAAACATACTTCATTTGTCTGATTGAAACCACAAGTTTTTGCATAGAAACCACTTCAGAGTTGCACAGTAATGGTGCTGCTGTGTACTGTTACAGCTTAAAACCAGTAAGTAAACAAAATTATGTATACTGGTCTGATTGAAACTCGTAAAAACTTGCACAGAAACCACTTCAGAGTTCCATAATAATGATGTTGTGAACTATTACAAATATTGCTATAACTAATTTTTACCATTTTGAGAATGAGCATGGACAATGCAGTTTGAAGAATGATAATTATGTACACATGCTCTAAGACTTCACCATTCTTTACTTCCACTGTGTTCTAGTAAAAACAACAGTTTCAATAGGATGAGGTCCCACTGCAAGAACCACGATGGTAATTTTTTCTAGATGATTCACTTCCTGACATGTTGATACTGAAAGGTTAGCAGAAACACCAGATTATTTGAATGTAATCAATTTTTTCTTGTGGGGTCATCTGAAAAGAATCATGTATTGCCCACCAACATCTCTCAAAACTGAAAAACTGATATTATGGGCATAGGAACATATTTCAGGAATTCCAGTCGATATATTACATTAGACTATGAAAAGTTTTCCCAGTCAGTTGGCAGAATACATGGTCCAGACTTGTGGTCATGTTGAAGATGTGATTTTGAAATATTAACAATTATCATCAGAATGATGTTTCATATTATGTTCAGAAAATGCTATGAGAATAAACATACTTTGTAATAAAAGTAAGTATAGCACAGCATGTAATATTTTTGCAATTTCACTAACATTTAAAAGTTACTAGATTCACTGGCAGGCCCTATATTTATTAAAATTAAATAATTACTCCAAAAATAAAATATATCATGCATAAAGTCATAATTTATTAGAATCATAGTCAGACAAATATTTAATACAGAGTTCAAATAAAATAAAAATAAATTTATAATTAAATAAAGACTATTTTAATACCATTACATACATCACAATTAACATTTGTATAAAATAAGTATGTATTTTTAAATAAATACCACTGCTAAAAGTCCAAGACCAGATCCAATATTTAGGAGCAATGGAACAATGCTGAATTTTCCTCCTCGCCCTTGAGCCATGATAAGGAATTTAATACCATATGCTTTATAAAGAGTTCTTTCAGAATCTCCATAATAATGAGCAAACCTAATTTAAAAGAATAATTATATACCAAATATACAATACTAAAATCCGACATGATAGTAAAATGCACCTAAAATTCACAACTAACTTTTTGACCTATGTATTTATAAATATGTTAATGCAAAAATGACACTTTTCAAGTAGACTGAGAGACATGATGCATAATTAATAATATCAGTGACTGTACAAGAGGCACAAAATATATATAATAGAAATGGCTTGATAGCTAATATTTTTTTATGGAAATGTGTCACTGACATGGATACTTTTCACATATGCACAAAAATGCTTTATTTTGGACGATATTTATTTAAACACATGACAATCATACATGCATACACATGAGAAAAAAAGACAAGCAAGAGAAAAAAAGAAAGAAAAAGATCTAAGATCATAGTAACTATTGTTGTCATGCAATATCAAGTTTAAAAATACTGCAATATCAAATTTCCACTAAACGCCAGTAGTTCAAGAAAGGTCAGGAAATTTACTGACCATTACATAGTTCCATCTAGTATAGCAGCAAATGATTTTTTTATCAAAAAAATGTAATGAGCATGAGTTTCCCACCAGATACCGATAATACTCCTTTGTTTGGCTGAGGTAATCAAGAGTATTTTTATTTTGTAATTATTTCTGACTAAAAAAAATTGAAACAATGACGCAAAACGTCATAGACAACGACAATTTGCAAAATAAATCAATCTGCTTATCAATGATAATTAGACATTACAAAGATATCCCCAAATATAATGTCATAAAATGATATAAGGTTTGCTACAGAAGTACCTAACTGTACTGAGAGAATCATAATGCTGTAATACTACAGCCCATGTACTGTCTAAGCTATAATATAGATTGCATAAAACATTTAAATTTATTTTATTCCACTTGTTACATCTTTCAAAAATTATTAGCTTTGAGATCCATCTGCAACATACATAACCATCAAATGATAAACAATTTTTGTCAATACAGTGCCTTCTTTATGGAAAAAACTGCATAACCACATAGAATCTGTTTGCATAAATCTATATTTTTAACCTGTGACTAGCAAATTTCCTAACTGCATTCTAACAAGTACTTACATTGCATAATACATTACACCATACTAAGTTTGGCTAATCTTTGGAATATGGTAACAGGTAGTTTGGCGACATTTTGGTAGGGGATAAAGGTTACTTTACCTAGGACTTTGCGAATAATGTGAGAAGTGCTCAGTTCCGATTACGCATTATTTTGTGTGAGGGAAATGAGAGATCATCAGATATGTCATGTGACATTTATGGACGAATCACAGTTCTTTAATCGGAAAAGGGGGTAAATTTGTAAAAATATCTGCCGTACTTTTTATAGCATTAGCTTCACATTCTATGTTCTGTGAAACAGCGTTGCTTAATATTTAGATCCCATGGCCCTATGTAAAGTAAATCCGAAATTTTTATTGCGTTTATGTGTAATCCAAAAGAATTGCTTGAATGGTGTATGAGTGTAGGATTAATTGCGGATAAGTATGAATGTCCAACATGTGGGAATGAAATGAGATTGTGTGAAAGGAAGGATATTACAGATAAGTTTGAATGGCGGTGCAAGAAATCTGGTGAAAATGGACATTTTGTGAAACGGAGTGTAAGGAAGGGTACGTGGTTTGCTGAAAGTCATTTGAGTATGGGTGAAATTTTATTAATTTCTTATTAGTGGATGAATAGACTGCCAGTTGACTACTGGATTATTGAATCTATAAGAAAAGTTTATCCGCCATGCAATCAAGATTGTGAAGAAGATTAGGTAAGTTAGTATTTTTAATCATTTGAGGATATTATTTTTATGCATGTAAGGAATAAATAAATTAATATGGTATTATTGGGAAATTGTTATTAGCAATGAATTAGTTTAAAGTAATTAGGATTGTAAGCTAATTTTTTATTAATGTATGTGCTTATTTATATTTTAAGTAGTGTTTTTTAATTTAATTATATTTTAATTTAATAATCGTGATTTTGTGAGTTATATGTTTGTAGTATTTTGGAATATGTTTGAGTAGAAGTAAATGTGCATGGAAAGAATTTAAATATTTGACACTAAGTATTTGGAACCATTTTTAATGTTTGCATTTTAAATTTGCAGGTGACGTTTATTAATAGATAATTTAGAGCAAAAAGTTTTTGGATATTTAATTTATTTTATACGTGCAAATGTTCATCCTTTGAAATGGTATATACTTTTTTGTGATCAGGTAATTTCATATATGTGCTTTTTACCGAGTTTAAAGATTCACAAAATTTTCCTGCATTTCCGTGCAAATTTTTCTAATTTATGAGAAAAAAGCAGTGTACATGGATAAAGTTAAGAGTGTGCGCAATGCCGTTTTTGTACAATTCTGGGATTTCTTTTAGTAAAAATAAGTTGATGTGTACATGGTTAGTATGTATGTGCGATTCTGAAAAACGCGGCAAGGAGTTTGCAATTCTGCACTTTTTCCCAATTTTGCAGTTAATATTTGTCATGATTAAGCAGTTTTGTTCCATAAAATTTCTAGCATAAGTGTAATTTGGCTAGCAGATTGTTGGAAAAAGTGTTCAGTAAATAAAAAGAAAAGAAACATGTCTTTACTAAGTAGAAGGTTGCTGTAGCAGAGTTGGATGCCAAATTTTAGCCAAAAAATCGCCAAGTTACCATAATCCAAAGATCAACCCTAAGTTTAGTAATACAAGATTAATTAGTAATACAAATTTTATTTTTACTTTGATGGTTAGTGATAGTAATTCTTATATCATTCTGCAATAAATAAACTTAACTCTTTTTTAGACAAGACCTAATTAACTCACCTATGCTTTATTTGAAGTTGACCCTATATTAAGTTCACTAGCTTTAGTATAACAAAAACATATTTGTTTAGGCTATAATACTAATTCAGAAGTCAAACAACAAAAATCAGCGTTATACCTACAAAATTTTCACAGGACTAGTTTCGATGGTTTTACCGAACCATCATCTTCAGCTGCAAAACCGCAAATGAACAAGATAGGAAATAATGATTAGATAAGATAAGAAAGCCTGGACAAGAATAAGCAAGTGGCGCCATCTGTTGGCGAAACCAGAACTAAAACATAATTTCTCTAAAAGCCGAAGGCAAATTTGGATTGGAATTAGGATCGTTAACTAGAACAGAAAGATTTTTATGAATGTGAAATGCCTCTAGAAAATCCAGTTCTCCAATGGAAGATGTTTTTTGAATAATTTTGGCAGCAGAAAAATTGAAAGTGTGATTTTCGGACCAACAATGTTGAGCAACAGAAGACCTCTGTGTTTCCTTTTTTCTAACATATGCCTCATGTTCTTTGACGCGAAATTTTAAGGCTCTCTTAGTTTGGCCAATGTAAATTAAACCACACTGGCAAGGAATCCTAGGCTATAATATTAGGGAAAACGTGCTTAGAGATGTCTTATATATATCATTCTGAAATTTAGGAATTCTTCAAATTCAAACATTATTTAAATATTTCTGTTCATAAAGCAGTGTTTAAAAGCACCTTCTTTAACTCAAGAACATTAAGTTACATACTTCCTTTATCCAATAGTTTTCTATTAACCAAAGAGATAAAATCCTGTACAGAAAGTAAATTTGCAAATGTTCGTGGAAATGAGTAAAAAATCTTTTGACGGTTACTACTTCTAAAAGATACCAATATTTCTAAGAAGATAAATAAATAACTGTATTGGACATCACTGATAACCATATTCTCAAAGGCCATAGAAGAAAAACATTGTGTGGGGACAATGGATGATTACTTTTAGGAAGTTTTATAATATAGTTTGAACCCACTAGTAGTCAAGTAGGTAAGATTATTGAACATTGATAATTTGACCTAGGTTGATTGCAATGAAAGAATGTGATTTTCCCTATGTATAATAAGCCAGTGTCCTTTAAAATGTCCTCCAAGTAAGTATTGCTCCTTTATGCAAATCATCTGAGTGTGCTTCATCTGAGTATAATCAGATAATCTAATTCAAATCTCTGCAGCTTGAGATGTGATTTCAGTAATTGAATAGGAAATGAGAAAAGTCATTTCCAAAGTTTGTAGTAGTTTTTAAGTTAACCCATAATGATTAGTTTGTATGATTTTTGATTCTATAAATATATAAACTAAAATATAAACACATCAATGGATTAATTAAAAATAAAAAAAAATTTACACTGGCAATTAATTTCAAAGTGATACAAAACAAAACACATGCTACAATGTTTTCTTACACATACTTTTTGAAAACTACTAATAATAGCCTAGGAGCTTCAGTTATTCTTCACCAGGATTATCCTCTCATGCAGATCAATATTTTCCATTCAGTTTTGTAAATTACACTGTGTTAATGGCACACATGTACTTATGCTCAAAATCATGTCTCTCATAAATGGCATGGAGTATATTACTTTCAGATCATAACTGCCATGCACTACCTTACACTGAAAATTCTAGATATGTAATTATTTTAAATATTTTCTAGTAGTTTTCATATTCAGATCAAATTTATCCAAATTTTGATGAATATGTGCGTAAATAAATGGTACACTGCTCCAAAAAAAAAAAAAAAAAAAAAAAAAAAAAAAAGGGACAGTGCTATATCTCCCGTTCTACTGGGCCGATTGACAAAATTCAAACTGCGTTTTTCATGTCTCGAAAGCATGACTTAGGATATATATTAGATTTATATATAGCACTATTCTAACATAGGTATTTTGACACAAAATCGGACTTTTTCTGAAATAACATACCAATTTTTTTCCATATTTTCGATTCTACTACGGCTCAAATTATGCCACAACTACCAAGTTTTGTAAAAACCATCGTACAAGCAGTTTTTAAAATATTAGCTCTCAAAATTTTAGCTCCTCAATGTTAATTGAATTTTGGCAAATATTTATTAATATCTCTTTTTTTACTAAACTTTTTTTATTTTTTCTCTCACATTTCGAAATTTAGGGTTCATTCCAAATAAAATTT